CATAATATATCAATCTTTTTCCTCTTTCTTTTCCCCTTACTGACCCTCCCATGTATCCTTCACATCTTCCACTCTGCTCATGTGCGATCCCACATCATATCAGCGTGGGAAGGTGACTCTTTATTAAGTATTCAGAGCTTAAGATGATTGTGCAGGGTAACATCTGGCAGTAATGTGGAGCGGTGTCTTTAGTAAAAACAACACTCTGTTTAATTAATAATTGATCGGTACTCTCTCTAGGCACATTAACAGCATGGCAGGATCTCAGGGATGCAGTTACAGCACCAAGTCAGTCAGGAGGAGGGAGATAAGGTGTCTGGGAGCTATTTGAGGGCCCGCTCTCTCAGAAACACGCCGCTAACAGTAGCCGTACAAGGGGAGTAATAATGCATCTGCTGAGGTGTCGGCACAAGGCTTCCATGCCAGCATGTAGCTCACAATAACACCTAAAAAGCACTGGTGCCTGGTCAACAGCCTGAAAATCTTTTGCTTGTTTCGAGCAGGTGATCTAGTTTGCATACTCATGATGTTGAGATTTGCAGTTAGATGTGTGCAGGAGGACACAGAGATGCTGGTGAAATATTCCCTTTATTTGATTTATACTAGGCCTGAAACAGAGCTGCATTAAGTTCTGTGCTGTTATAATTGCAGTTATTATAAACAAAACCGATTTGAAGATGATGCCACTAAATACGTGTTTACATAAATAGATATACTGTATATTTAATACATAATTTATGTATGATGTGTGTAATATGCATAAATATCTAAAGCTGGGCAACGATTAATTGCATCCAAAATAAAAGTTTTTGTTTGTATAATATGTGTGTGTACTGTGTATAGGTTATGATGCATATAAAAATACACACATACAGTATATAGTTTGAAAATATTTACATGTATTTTCATGTATATATTTATATTAATATGATTTATATTATATATAAATGTATTTAATATATAAACATAACATATTTTTCTTAAATATATACATGCATGTGTGTGTATTTATATATAAATAATAAATATACACAGCACACACATATATATATTATGTACAAGAAAAACTTTTATTATGGATGCGATTAATCGCGATTAATCATTGCCCAGCACTAAAATATACATAAATACAATTATGTATTGACTGTATACATTTTAAATAAATATATTTTACAAATATCGTCAATTAATATGTAATAATAAAATATAATTATTAATGTTATTAATAGAATACATTTTGATAATTAAATAATACTAAAATGAACTAAAATGATTATTTATATTACATTTATAGTGAATTGTGAATGTCGTTAATGCTAAGTGGACTAGTAATGCAGAGTGGGCCTGAATTTTATTTGTAAAGCCTGTGATAGTTTTGTTGAACGTCTGTGACTTTCTGTTGTGTTGATTTGTATTGGTTCTGGAAAACTCATTTGACCCTCTTTGGCACGGTCCAGTAATCTCCACAGGCTAAACATTAAGCTCTCTTTATTTTTTCCTGTACAGTCTAGCCAAATTTTAATGGACTTGAGAATTTCTTCAGCAGTGTGGGATTTGCACTACGAGTAGCCAAATATATCTAACTGCCAGTTTTTGACACATGGATGATACACCACCCTCTCCTGCTGGACAAAACTCTTTTCCACTACAGGGCTCCAGACAAAAAAATCGAGTAAGGAGCCATTGGCTCCTATAAGAAAAAAACGTAGGCGCCAAATTGTTTTTTTAGGTGCCACAGAATAAACTTGTTTTATTTATTTTATTATTATTTATTTATTTTTAAATTTTAACATTTCAATCATACTGTCATGTGTTTGTCTCATCTTTTCTTGACTTTAAAGTGAAGTGAACTTGACCCCGCACCCTTTGGGTTACGAGTCCGACTCTCTAACCATTAGGCCACGACTTATCAGCATTTTAATCCATCTTGTAGATGACCTGGGAACTAAGGTTCACTTAAAGTGGGAACTAGATGTCTTTTCCAACTTAAAAAATATACAGTCATAAAGAATTGTTCATTACACAGAATCTGTACCAATATCATGGACCATAAGCATCACTTGGCCACTGAGTGTAGTTTGGGCTCCTCCTCAATGCATCCTGTAAATGTTGTCATACACTCTTAAAAATAAAGGTGCTTCACGATGCCATAGAATAACCTTTTTTGTCTAAATGGTTTCATAAAGAATCTTCAATCCATATTGTAGATGTCCTGGAAACTAAGATTCACTTAAAGTGGGAACTAAACGTCTATTCCAAGATGTGTGTATGGAGTCAAATAACTGTTTATTACACAGAATCTGTGGCAATATCACAGACCATAACTATGTCAGCATCTTGGTCATTGAGTGCAGTTTGTTATGTGGCATTGTTTACAAGCTTTACACGTTTTCCGCAGTTTGAAACACTGAATGAGCTTTTACATGAGACATTTCAGTAATATGTAATGTAGGCTCTCTTATAAAATAGCCTACCTTTTGATGTTAATTCAAGTTCATTATGTACTATAGTAGTAAAGAGAAAGATTAAATGGGTTCACTTGCCTCTTGAACTGAGGCGCTAAAGCGATCACGCCTGCCACATTAAAGAGCGCCGAAACTGTATTTATTATTTGAATTTCGTTATGAATTTGGAATAATTTTAATGCTGGTACTTTGTTTATTAAAAAGTAACAAAGCACATATGATATAATATGAAGTTCACGCACTAACAGAGCACAGCATAGACTAAGGCCCCGTCCACACGGAGACGCGTTTAGCTGTATACGTATACATTTTGTTTCGTATAGGCGTTTCGTCCAGACGGATCCGGCGTTTTGGGAGAATGAAACCGATATTTTTTGAAACCGGGTCCCAGAGTGGATAAATCTGAAAACGCCACCCTTGCGTTTTCGTGTGGACAGCGAATCCGTATATTTTCTGAAACGATGACGTCATCAGCCCACGTCAGACACCGCTACGTCTCGTAACAGCAACAAAAACATGAACAAACACTGAACGATTGTCTTTTTATTAACTAACATTAACACAGATTAATAAATGTATTGTTCCATGCTCGTTTGTATACCGCACACAAGGTTTATGCGTATAGTCCAAGTCTTCTTCTCCGTTTTTAGTGTATCTCTGTTTCAGAATTACAGCGCCACATGCTGGTCTGGCATGTATACTACATCGTTTTGTGTCGGTTTCGTGTGGATGTATATATTTCTTGAGACGAGGGGAAAAAAAGATCGGATAGGGAAAGCTCTGGCGTCGTGTGGACATAGCCTAAGGTCTTGATAAGAAGAAGCCATATTAGTAATGATTATAAACGAGAATTGTTAATGATATTGCCAATATCCACACAGCTGACAGTTTTACCTGTTGTAGTTTGTTCAAGTTGTGCACGAAATATACGCTGCTTTTCTGCACTTTTACTTCGCACATCTCCGTCATTTTGATCTCTCTCACGCTGCGCAACTGAGCTGCGTTTAGCAGGTGTACGTCAGCGCTGCAGAGATGAGGACTGTTTGAAACACTTTTTTCCACTAAAATTTAATGCGCATCGTCTGTTTTAATACTTGAACATAACAAAAGATGTGATCGCAAAACAATCAGGAAAAAATGCATTACATGCAAATTTTTAAGTTATAACATGTAAATATATATAGTCGCCAGTGGCGACCTCAGCAAAAACTTCACTCTCAAATTAATATTTTTGGTCGCAAATGCGACCGTTTTAGTCGCAGTTTGGAGCCCTGCACTATCCACCCAGTCATCTTTCATTAATTGGTTTCTTTCAGCCTTGTAATGAGCGATATAATCTGAATCATCTCTTTGAATGCACAGAAGTAGTGGATTTTTGGTTTTGGTGTTCACCAGCTGCATCAGGGTCCCATGTGTTTCCAATATGTTCCACCCTCAGTCAGTTTGCCCGGTTCTTAACCGTGAGTTTATTACCATGTGAAGTGTATCACAGCTGGGCACCAGCACCAGCCTTGATGAGAAAATCTGCTCTGCAACCCTGCAGTCTGCTCAGGCTTCTTTAGTCCAGTGAAAAACTGGTCAAGATGTCTTTACCCGGTCAGTTAAAACATGCTACATCCACTAATGCTGATCGCCGAGGTGAAGCATAGACTTGGACGTGTGAGTGTTTTGTCAACATTTAGCCAGAGAATATATCGACCCCACGGTGGCCCAAGTGAAGTACTGATAAATCAATGATGCCATTAGTGCCGCGGTCCTTCTCTGGCCGCATGATGTAAATGATGTCTAGTGTTGGTTTGGAGGAACTTTCCATTAGATATATGTATTTTTACGTCCTCTGAGCCACACCACCATAGCTTGGTGATTAATGGACTGGGGACCACAGGGACCAGGAGTGAACTTATTTCCATAAGTGTGGATGCAGTAGATTATCTACTATGAATTACAATGACCAATGGGATCTTGGCATGCAATCACTAAAACTACATTTAAAGTCAATTTTATATCAAAATGACTGATATCAAAGTTTTACATAATAATCTTTCATCTTCCACCTCTGAAATTACTTTCATGTTCAGCTGATGTCACCAAACAACAAAGCTGATGCTTTTAACTGTCTGTGGAAATGCATCTAAATGCCACTTCAGATGCCGCTTCTATATCATCTCTGGATGATCTCATGGATCAGGCATAGTTTGAGAAGCTTAAACAACATTAATGGTGATGGATTGGAGGGCACTGCAACTTTTGTAATTATGACTCAGACATGCAACACACAATCACTGAATATTAATGCATATATGCCTCAACAAGAGAAATTATCTCCCTGATGATCTCACCAGATCTTTGGCTTTAAATGCACAGCCTCTTTGTGTGTTTCGCTGCCCACACTTGGATATGCGTCATCTTGTCTGATTTTGTGTCATCTGCCCTGAACTTAATTGCACTCCTTCAGTGGTTAATTTAAGGAAACTTGTATATTTGGGTTTGTTTTGTTTCAAGAAGTTCTAACAACATTTTTCCCCTCTCTTATAGCGCGAGAAGAGAACGTGGCCACATTCAGAGGTTCCGAGTACTTCTGCTACGACTTGTCTCAGAATCCCATCCAGAGCAGCAGCGATGAAATCACATTGTCCTTCAAGACCTGGCAAAGAAATGGACTTATCCTTCACACGGGCAAGTCAGCAGACTACGTCAACCTTGCCCTGAAAGATGGGGCTGTTTCGTTGGTCATCAACTTGGGTTCCGGAGCCTTCGAGGCCATTGTCGAGCCGGTCAATGGCAAATTCAACGACAATGCCTGGCATGACGTGAAAGTCACACGCAACCTCAGACAGGTAACGCTGAAGTGGCTGGAATTTCATGTTTTCTGATCTAATTCAGAGCTAAATGCTACTGTATATTGCTTAAATTAGCATTTTCGGTTATTTTAAGTTCTTCGAGATGCTAACGCAACTATTTCTTCCTCTGAGTTCTTCTACCTTGCCTCAAGTTTTGCCTCCTCAGGCATTTACCTCTGTCTGAAGCTATCAACAGTGCGATGCCTTCAAGAGGCTGTCTCTCTCACCCCTCTAGATATTCACCTCACTTCTCCAAATAGTCTGTCTTATCAGGGCAGCAGGGAGAGGCTCCAACCAACCTCAACCGTTCCATTTACCCACAGCAAATCTTTGCTGAACTGTTAAATCACTCCGCCGCTGCATTTTAAAATATGTAAATATTTAGGGTGGTTTTGCCCCTCAGGAGTGAAAGGATGTCGCTTTTTGCGCAGGCGTGTGTGGAGGCGTGAGTGCCCACAAGCACAAGCTATTTCAGCTCTGATCCACTAGGACTGTGACATTTTTTTCGCTTTGTTTAATAGCTGTTTTACTATCACGCCAAGAATATGCATTAGAATTACCTTGTACAATTGCCTGAGGAAAGTCAAAAACCATATGAATCATAACAAAGAGGCAGCTAGATAGAGGTCACCGTTCACGGTTGTAGCAGAAAACAACACGTTACGAAACATTACATTAGAAGAGACCTAAAAATCCAAGTTAAATGTGTTCTGGCGATGAACAAATTGGGAATTATTGGTGAAAAACTCAGTCTTTATTCTGGAAGGCTTTTTCAAGTGAGTATACACTTTAAGATTTTGCCGACAAGTGCAGTGTCTTTACAAAAAGTGAAATGCCACATGCTCTGTGGAGAATCCGCTGTTTCTTTTTCTTTTCCACATTTTCTTACTCTCACTCATATGCTTTGCTTGTCTATGGATAACATTTGTTCAGACCCAGACTAACCACTCATGAATCATTGACTAGAGGCTTTAGTTTACTTACCAGAACCTAAACTAATGTGCTACACATCATGACTTCATTTGAGTTTATTTCATTTTATTAACAACCCTTTTGTTCATTGTTTAATTTCCTTTCTTCCCCCTTTTCTCAAAGCATTCAGGTATTGGACACGCTATGGTAAACAAACTACATTGTCTGGTAGATATCATTCTTATTGTCCTTTTTTTGGTTTACCGTGTGTTTCCCTGGCCCTCTTTCTTTTTCATTTTTGGGGTTTCATGGCTTCATAAAAAAATAAACAGACTTGGGTTTGTATTTCGGGGATTTTTCTTTTTTATTTCAAATGTCCTCATTCCATTTTTCACTACAGCTTTACCGCCATTTTCTATCTTTCTTTCTTTGAACTTTCTCTTTGGCCCTTTTTTAGTTTCTGAAGGCTTAGTTGTCCTCTTAGCCCTTTTTTCTTTTCTTTTTTCTTTTTTAAATCAAATACTGTCAAAAACTGGCAGAAGCTTTCCAAAACAAAAAAGTGACGAAAACAACAGTATGAAAATAAAAGAATAAAGAACTACTTCAGCACTGGAGCTCTGACAGTTGATTCCAGTTGTTTGCGCATGCCGCACTGACCCATTCATGCTGGATCAGCCCTTGTGTTACTAACACCAAAACTCTTGTCTGAGCAACCCACCATCTGCCCAGTGTCCTGTCCTGTCTGTATTGTGGTGTCAGTCATGACTTCTTGTGTCCTCCCTCATTACCCCTCATCCTGTAGCTTTTGCTTTGGTCTCATATGTGCTGCTTCCCCTTGCATATCGTCTTGGCTTGAAGAAGATGCATGATTCCATGTTTGCAGTGGTTGTGTATCTCACTATTAATGTTATATGAGGAAAAAGACCATCTGACCTCTGAGTTGCATGCTCATTTTGTGGTAGTATTAGCTCATTTTGGAACGCATGTGTCAACTAACCCTGTGTGCACAGAATTTGAACTAAAAGCAAGCAATTTGTCTATAGTTTGTACATAACACTAACCCCTCAAACTAATGCCCCAAACCAGAAAACCATTTCTAACAACATCAAAGATAAAGAAAATATGCCGGCAAAATATTTTCTTTACCTGTCCTTTGTAAGTCTACAAGTACTAGACAAGAACGGCCTACTAAAAGTCTCGAAGTGGTCTTTGGTACACAATCAAAGACAGACAGCAACCAGCAAGATCGAAGCTAACCTATTCCTGGTAGAGCGGCCGTCACAGCCATGATGTTCATGAATGGATTTTTCCCTCCCTTTTGTCATTCCTCCCAATCAGGTGACAATATCTGTGGACGGCATCCTGACTACAACAGGCTATACGCAAGAGGACTACACAATGCTGGGATCAGATGATTTATTCTACGTCGGAGGAAGTCCAAGCACAGCAGACTTACCTGGGTCGCCTGTCAGCAACAACTTTATGGGTTGCCTGAAAGAGGTAGGTGGTCTGGGCGAACCCCGTTCTTTCATCTACATACATCATATCACCATGTCCTTGTCTGGACTGAGAGGGAACAAGTTTGAATAGACCGTCCGAGCAGAATAATAGATTCAGTACAGCTTATCTTGTGAAAAGGATAGAGCAGACATCATACCCGTGGTGTGTTTCTCTAATGAAATTTGCTGGAGTTATACATTTTTGCCCAGATGCGAAATTGTTTCAGGCATATTTAATATGACTTTTCAATTGTGGTGAATCATTTGATTAAGGTTTCACAGGCCAGAGAAGAAGCAAATGTGATTGGAAGAGATGAGACTTTGCATAATGATATGCATCGTTTTCAAAAAGGGAACCCCAAAGAGATTCTGCTGAACAACTGGACATGAAGATATCCATAAATGCAAAATAAAAATCTCACAGAAAAATTCTTCATATTTCACCCCTAAATTAAAAAGAAAAAATAAGAAGTTATATTCTGCTTAAAGAAATTGAATCCTATTTGTAGGACCATTATTTTTTCTTTTCTTTTTTGTTATTTATTTATTTATTGTCATTTGTAATTTAGTTGTAATAAATTAAAAACCTAATTTAAGGAAGGTTTTTATCAAAAGACAAAAAAATTGACTGCAGTTCATGTAATGGGAATGCAGTAATGGTAATGAAAAACCTTGTCATAAAAATGGTCACAATGCAAACCATCTTAGGTCTAAAAAAGTTTTTTTTCCCCCTAAACAAAGTATCATTTATTTTTTGATGTTGTTGATTATGATCCAGACAGGTTTTGTTTTTGCTTTCAGTTCACCCTCTTATTATTGTTGTTATTATTATTATTACATTTTCCACATTACAGTAATGGTAAACTTGAAATAAAAATGAAGTAAAATAGAGTTAGATTTAAATTAAAAACTAAATTTAAAGAAGGTTTTCATCAGACAAAAAAGTAAATGTAATGTAAATGCAGTAATGGTCATGGAAAAATCTTGTCATGAACATTATATCACAATGCAAACCACCTTAGTCCTAAAAAGTTTTCTTTAAACAAAGTATTATTTTTTTCTTTAAATTAATATGATCCAGATAGGTTTTGTTTTCGCATTCATTTCACCCTCTTAGAGCCATTATACTGTTTGCAGAAGTTAGATGTCATTCTCTTCGATCAGCTCAGCTGCTCATTTCCACACTCCTCAGTTGTCAGGTCTGGATAACTTTATCAGTAAATGGACTGATCTTTAATTTAGCTGGAAATAGGCAATTACTCTGTTGTGCGGCTGCTGGCGAGATCCTCCATTAATTCATGCTGAACAAACAGAAGACAACAGAACCTCCTTTTTCGCAGTGAGCACTGCAACAGCCTGCTATCTTTTAATGACCCGCCATCAAGCTATCATTGCCGTTTCCATCTCAGACCGGCCCTCCTATCGAGGGGCTAAAAACCTGCAACATCGGCGTTTGCGTAAAAAACTAATTTCATTCCCTCTTTACTGTGCTGAGTTTTAAAAAACTGCCACCCATGTCAGAGATTACAGTAATCAATCTCATATGTGCTGCGATATAGCAAGTGCTTACATAACACTGCTCTGTTAGATAGGTGAACTGGATGCTAAGAGCTGCTCAAGACGAGATAGCAGAACTTATACATCCTTCACCCACCCAAGAGTGGCCATAATGATAGATACCTCCTCCTCACACTCTTTCTCATTGCTCGAGTCCAAGGATAAAAAGAAATTGTATACTCTTCTCAGCTTTTAAAACCTCACATTTGATGTGGAAGCTGAAAATGATGTAGTTGTTATGGATCATGTGTGGTCGCTTAGACACATGGGGTTTGTTATATAGCATGCGACTGTCAACATCTGATCAGGATGACATGATCATAAGCGTGCCATTTTACATTTTTAGCTGGGTTCAGTTAAACCTAAAATGTCCAGACTTTTTTTGTTGTTTTCAATTACTATGTTCACAGTAGCTTAGTAATGTAGTGCTCTTACGTTTTGTGCAGTATAAAAGGTCAGAAATTAAGGAGGGTAAAATGTCAGTGAAAGTGACTTTTTCTTTCTGATAAAGCCATCATACATTCTAATTTTTTTTTCTTACATTCTACATACATTCTAATTATTATTCATGCAAAAAAAAATACAGAAAATTATATATGATATGATATGATATTATATTATATTACTAGTCCACTTAGCATCTTGTGCCACAGAGTGTACCACTTATTGCAGTCATGTTGTGGAAAGGGTAATGCAGAGACACATTTAACACTGCTTTTACCTATGAACTGTATATTCTGTAGGACAGAGGTTTCAAAAAATGGTTTCAGACAGAAAATCAGAGCAATATGCACTGATTTCTTAATATGTATAAGACCACAGTATTTAAAAAAAAGAAATGATAGAGTAGCAGCTGTTTTTTAGCATTATTAACACCAATATTTTTTCTCTTCCTTTAAATGAAGCAGACTATTGTATAGATAGTCACAGGCCTCCTCAGACCTGCCTTGTGTTTGTCTTTCAAGCTGAGCGTGAAGGGCAGTAATCAGGGTATGGCGGGGCGTGTGGCTGCACAGGGGTCTGCCAGCACTAATGACTGGATACTGAGCTGGACTCTGGTTCCCTTCCTTTTTGCTCTGCCATCACAATCAGTTTCCAGGATGTGCGCATGGTGACTGTCATTTGTCACTTTGCTGGTCCGGCTGGATGAAACTGTCCCTGCTCTCTGGACACTTGCTCCAGAGCCAGCACCGCTCTATGGATGCAAGACAGGTCTGAGAGTTCTGATAGATAGGTTGACCTAGCCTTACTCGCTCTCTCATCCTCTATCCAGCAGATTTGTTTCAGTAAGCACCGCAGGACTGTTAATATTTGGCAAAAGCTCAGAGCTAGAATGCTGGCCAGTAGGGCTGGGTATCGTTCAAAAATGTTCGATATCGATTCCGATACCGATCCCTTGACTTTGATACCG